TTAACAATTGTAGGATTTTTCTCTTCGGCCCAATTATTTTTAGTAAATCGTTTGATATGAAAGATAAGATAATTTGGTAACCGAATTAATTGTGATCTTTTTAAGGTACCCGCTGATTCCTGTTATTTAATATATAAATATTTATTTATTTATTTATTTATTTAAATGATGATAATTGAGGCAGTAAAACATATAAAATATACATGAGATATAATAAATGTATACCTGAGGAGTACGACCATCATATTTTGCAAGTATTGTGGTTAAAGCAATCTAATAATGATTATAAAGAAAATTGTATTAACAGAAATTATATATATATATAACAAAATATTCTTTGCTTGCTCACTTGTGGAATAATATTTTTTTCAACTTCATCTTTGAATAATGGAGGTGGAGGTAAATCCAAGCTCAATAAAAGAAATGGTGTTCGGATTGTCTCGATTTCTACGTTGTAAATTTTTTTTTAAAGTAAAAATTTAAAATATAAAGAGTGCACACTAAAGAAAGTGAAATTTGAAGAAAGTTCTCTAATTACCTCGATTAAGATCAAACAACAATCGATCTTTTTCATCAGCATCTGATTTGACGATTAATGGTTGAGATTCAACTTTAACCTCTCCTTGAAATATATTATGAATTATACCTAAAAAAAATTTTTACGAAAAAAATTTATGAAAAAAAAAATTCAAAAAATAAATTAATCAATTTCTAATTATTATTATTATTATTTTATTTTATTTTTTTTAAAAAAAACATACATACTGCTATTTCTTTTTTTAGTCCCACCCAAATCTTTATGTAAAGAATTTAAAAACCAACACAAAAATTCTATTGGATCACTTTGTTCCGCAAGTTTAAATACTTTATTACTAGCATTGGAAATTTCTTGCAGTAATTCATGAGGACTGACTTGTCCTTTAAAAGCTCTGGGATTCCAAATTTTTCGAACCAAAGTACTAAATCGTTGTACTATTAAAAAAAATAAAGAAAGAAAGATCTCAAAAAAAAAGATTCATCGTGAAAAAAAATATAAAAAATCATCTTCTTACCTAATTGTGACTTTTTATCAAAATTTTGTAAAATGAAATAATCTCTTAGTGGAGGGATATGTGCCAATGCTTGTATTATTACATTGACATAATCATTAGCTTTAACATTATTGAGACCTACAAATCCTATAAATGTATAAAAGTATAAATATAAAAGGATGTGAAATATATAAAACAATGAAACTTTAGCAATTCAATCATTTTTTATGAATTCATTTATATTTATCATAATTTACCTGGTAAATATTTTTTATTATTTAAATCATATGAATGTTTTATATTCTGATCCAATCGAGCAACTTGTTCTTTCGTAAAAGTTGGATGGAGCACGTACTAAAAACAACAACAACAATAATATTAATATTAATTAGAATTATAAGGTGAAAAAGATATAATTACTTACCCTGATGTCATCTAAAGAAGAATCTTTAACTTCATATCCATCAGGTAAGACATATACCTTTAAAAAAAAAGGATCATCAATACATAAAAGTAAATTTTTAATTAAGAAAAGAATATATTATACATAATCAAATGTATATACCGTAAGTTCGTGTAAATGAATAAAAACATGATGGTCTTCATGCAAACTATGAAAATAAGCATGTGAACTACGTCCACGACCTATTATGGAAAAATATCATATTAAAAAAATAAGGACTATCGAAACTTGATGAAATTTGATCAATATTGAATTTTGTTGGATCCGGTAAAACTATCCAATTATATATTATCTTTTTACCTTGAAAATACTTCCCGCATACCAAGCATGCATATACATTTAAATTTGATAAAGAAACCGAACATACTTTTTCGAAATCAAAATCTAACATATGACGATTTATCTATAAACATGTACAATGTGTATATATGTATGCATGTATATGTATATATGATATAGAAAATAAGTTATGATCAATTTGGTAAAGATATAAAAAGAGGTTGAAGAGAGGAAGAGAGATATTAAACTCACCGTATCCAAGTATAGAGAACTTGAACTGGTTCCAACTCGAGGTCTCTTTATCACCGTTTGTTCAATTTGTTCATTACTTCTTTTTTCGTAACTCATATTTTTAAATCAGTAAAATAACTTAATCGAGCAGAATAAGCAAGATTCGAAATTTTCGTTCTTTATAATTCTCACTGACGCGTTGTTAAACAAGATTTTAATCACGTGACTTGTTAAACATGATACAGCATTTCATGATTTTCTTCGGAGACAATATCTAAATTATTCATTTTTCTCTTTATTTTTTTAAAAAATTTTTTTTTGTTATATTATT